AAAAAGAAAGGGGAAGGGATCTCTCCTTAAATTTCAAACATGTAACTTCTCCCCCATAACTCACTTTAATGTGTGATAATGGGTATGAAGGTTACACCATGTTTGGAGGTTACAACATTTAACCTCAATTCAAATTTAAGTTTTAAATGTTGCATGCATGCACAAGAATGGGGGCGGCGGTTTGGGTCGGCTTCGGACGGTTCGGAGGGGGGGGGTTCGAACAAATGCTCGGTTTGACGAAGAATAAAAATTACAATAATATAATTTAATAAAAATATTTATAGTATTTAATAATTAAAATAAAATACTACAATTAATATTTATATAAGATAAATACAATTAGGCACATAAAATCACTTAGCATTTAGGCAATTAATTACTAATAATAATATAAGCCACAAATAATGATAAATACAATAATAATGATAATAATAATAATCCAAAATTATTCGCAAACGAACGGGGCGTCACAGGTGGATAGCTATGTGCTGTGAAAAAAAAAAAAAGAAAAAGAAAAAAGGAAGAAAGATTATTAATGAGAAACAGAAGTAAATTGAATGAAAATTCTTTAAGCTTATAATAATAAGCAACAAGCAACAGGCTATGTAAATGAGAAAAAATAAAGCAGCAAAATGGTCTTGACAATCCCAAAACGATAGTCAAGTAACCCCGGGAAGTAGCCGAGCCGCCCGAGCAGCAGCTTGCAGTCCCGAGGATCAACCGATCAGCCCCGGGAAGTAGCCGAGCCGCCCGAGCAGCAGCTTGCAGTCCCGAGGATCAACCAATCAACCCAGGGAAGTAGCCAAGCCACCCGAGCAGCAGCTTGCAGTCCCGAGGATCAGTTGAGCAGCCCCAGGAAGTAGCTGAGCCGCCCGAGCAGCAACTTGCAGTCCCGAGGATCAACCGAGGAGCCCCGAGAAGTAGCCGAGCCAGCCCGAGCAGCAGCTTGCAGTCCCGAGGATCAACCGATCAACCCAGGGAAGTAGCCAAGCCGCCCGAGCAGCAGCTTGCAGTCCCGAGGATCAGCCGAGCAACCCCGGGAAGTAGCCGAGCCGCCCGAGCAGCAGCTTGCAGTCCCGAGGATCAACCGAGGAGCCCCGGGAAGTAGCTGAGCCGCCCAAGCAGTAGCTTGCAGTCCCGAGGATCAACCAAGGAGCCCCGGGAAGTAGCCGAGCCACCCGAGCAGCAGCTTGCAGTACCGAGGATCAACCGATCAGCCCCGGAAAGTAGCCGAGCCGCCGGAGCTGCAGCTTGTAGTCCCGGACAGCTCCCAAACAATTAGCTTCAGCCCGAACACGCTCGTTTTAATCCGGATAGCTCCTGAGTCTCCTCCGTTTTAGTTGGACAGCCATGCGAGCATCTCGAACGTGTATGTCTTGCAGCATAAATGTAACAGGAAAAAAAGAAATCGAGAAAAGAATGGGAAGAAGGGCATGATGATACCTCTCGGACAATTGGTCAAGCACCTCGTGGACAGAAACTTGGGAGATGAATGTAGATGAACCTTTTAAAATAGTCTACCAAAAATTTGCACGTGAATCTAAGAACATGAATAAGAGGGGCATCAGGGCAATACGCAGAGGGAATTTCACGAGCAATTCAAGATTCTTAGACTAAGATAAATGAACGTGAAAAGGAACAAGCAATTTTTTTTAAGCTAACCTGCTCTCTGGCCTTCTAATGTGAGAAAAACAACAATGGTTGGAGCTCCTTTTATAGTTGAGGGGGTCAGCCTGTAGATATAAGGTAACAAGAAGAATTTGAGTTTAATTGGGAAAAGGATCAAGAGTCCTGCTATGAAACTAAAATTCCAGAAGCCTTGTTAGACACCAAATTTGATAGCAGGAGGACTCTGCGTGAGCTGTCAATGGCATAGTTCTACTAGGAAAAGAATATCACTTTTAATTTGAAGTGTTGCAAGGGATTATTTGTGTTGCTGCTGATGGTTTTATTTTAAAGGCATAGTTGAAGAATAAATATATTATGACTATTGTGATGGGCTAGTGAAATCATGAAATTTGATTTCTTCATGGGCTCGTGATGTGCAAATTTTTGTTGTGGACCCTTATTAAAATTTGTTGCTTGAATTGGAATAAAAACGCAACATGGGGCTAATACATTTAATTCTTGGGCCAAAGTAACTTTTTTTCCCTTTTCGTCATACTATACGAAATTTCCCATGACAAATGGGATTTTGGAAGCAATTAATCTCTTATTTGAGCTTAATCAAACGAATGGGCTGATAGAGTTTTGGATGAAGGCTTGTAGCATACGTGGGCCAAATTCTCAAGAATCATGGTGGATCATTTATTATATTTGTCAATCCATTTGAGAATATATTGGGCCTTCTTAGTCTCTTAAGCCCATAAATACATATCCTGTTGTCCAAAGCAAAAAGTTCGTGCCTTATTCACTACAAGACGTGTCGTCCGTGAACAAGTCTCGAGGGGGCATTTGTAGGCAATTAAATTTTGAGCCAATAAAATGGCGACAAGTGTCAAATTCCATGTCAAAACCAATTTAATAATTTCCTATTTTATTTGTGAAATTAATCAAATTTTAATTCCTAAATTAAATAGTTAATTAATTGATTATTTAATATTTATTGTTGGCCAATTACAGAATGCCACATGTATATTTTAAAGGGCAATTAAAGAATGTCACATGTCATTTTGGGAGAATTAAATAAATAATTATTTCTTTTAATAATTATTAAAGAGATAAATAAGTGGAAATTCATGGACCAATCAGATTGAAATCTTCTTTTTCAAGACTCTCTTTCCTAATTATCTCTTTAAATAAATATTAAGAGATAAATATTGGAAATTATGGACCAATCAAATTGAAGTCTTCTTTTCCAAGACTCTCTCTCCCAACACCTATAAATAGGGACCCTCCCTAAGGTGAAAAATCACAATTCATATTCAAGTTCCAAGTTCAAGAGCTCTAGAGAATTCTCTCCACAAGATTCAAGTGTTCTTGAAGATTCAAAGGCGTTCTTGAAGATCCGAAGGAAGATTCAAGCGCGTTCAAGCTCAAAACCGACGTTCAATCCAGAAACAAGCTGCCAAGCCTCCGAATTGCGTTATTAAATTCAAGTGTTCTTGAAGATCCAAAGGTGTTCTTGAAGATCCGAAGGAAGATTCAAGCGCATTCAAGTCCAAAACCAACGTTCAATCCGGAAACAAGCTGCCAGGCCTCCGAATTACGTTATAAAATTCAAAACCGGCGTAAAGAAGATCAAAATCAACTTTGCGGCGAAGACCAAGGATTTGTGTTCTTCACGTTCTTGGGAAATCACGTCGTTCAATTCGAGATCAAGCTGTCAAGCCCTCGAAGAAACGTTATTTAAATCCAAATTCAAGATCCGCGGAGATTAAACTGAAGATTAGTCTCCAAAAGTCTCAAGTCTATTTGAAGATCGCTCTTGAAGAAATTAATCAGAGGAATAATAGAGATTTGTAATCCGCTATATTTCTTTTGATCCATTGAAAATCATTTGTACGAAGTTCTCGTGTTTATTTATTCAATAATGCGAAATTTTGCGTTACAACATCATCTGACCATAAGGGTAAGTGATAAAATTGAGGCTACAAACAAAATTGAGCCTACAAACACAATTTATCTATCATTACGAAATTCCGGCGGGAGGTGCAACCAACAGTCTCACCGCAATGACCAACTGCCACTAAACTTCGTGCAGCAGCGGGAAACAACCAACACTCGCCCGACCCTCAAAGCTTCGAGCTCCCTCATCTCCCCAATCTGGTCGTTCTTAAGTCGTCGGTTTTTGGCCACAACATGCTGTCAACAGTCCATGAAGCTGCCTGCCCATGTTCATGAGTTATATTTTTTGCCGGAAGCTACCGAGCACCGGAATTCCAACCGTTACTTCACATTGCTCGGCCTTAGCGTGTTCAATGGCGTGTTGTTCATCTGGTCTGATTTCTCTCAGCCCGTCGGAGCACAGTAGCCCATCGCTTAGCCACCTCGGAGCAGCCTTGTCCGGTCATCTCTCCCTTCACACTCGGGAGCCCCGTCACCGGCCGGCTGGAAGCAACATCATCGGTCAAAAGCCTAGTGCACCCCGTCATCCGAAGAAAACCGCCGATAGCACATGGTACAGACAACCACCTTGTCCAAAAAAGAAATGGGAAGAAACGTGGAATATTGTTCAATATTTCCTAGAATATAATAAAGAGTTAGTTAGAAATATTATTTTATGAAAATTAAGATAAGATGAAATGTATCCAAAATAATTTGCATCTTATTTTTCCTTTAAATTTTTTAATTTAATTTTTTCCAAAAATTTTAAAACACACATTTAGGCGAGATTTTCAAATTTTTCAAAAAACAAATTACTATGTTTAGTAAATTTTTAGGTGAGAATCCTAATTTATTTTTTAGTTACTATTTCAGGATTTTTTGAGTTGTCTATTTAATAGTAGATTAAACTAGTATAACGAGATTTTTTGAGTTGTCTATTTAATAGTAGATTAAACTAGTATAACACCAGTGTACTACGATGATTAAAAAAAACTATATACTGTTATTTCTAGGCTTAGAAAGAAATGGCCAGTTTAATGAACCCAATTCAACGTAATGGCATGCAGCAATAAGTGAAGATAGCCAACAATACATGGGTTCATTAGTTTGAAAACAAAAGTGGAAAGCCAGAAAGTTTTTGGCACCCAGTAGCTAGTTTACAAGAAACTCATCAATTTGTGATTTGATTATTTGAACCACAGTCGAGGCAAGACTAATGAACCCACCATTAATGTAACCATAGTCGAGCCAAGACTCACAGTCCAGGCAAACAGCCAAGCTTTCAAAAAGGTCGCCAATCCAAAAATACAGAGCCCGTTGCTAAACAAAATTCAAATTTAAGCAAAGCATCACATATGTCGTGGAGAATACCTACCAACATATACATGATATTCTCTTACAGAGATACATTGGAGTCACGCATTGCATTTTGCAATGCAAATCACAATCTTTTACAAATTTTCCATAGAGAGAGAGAGAGAGAGAGAGACCTTTTGCATTAGCGTGGCAATTGTCTGCAGGTCGGACAATACCACTTTCCTTTAAATCTTGTTTCAGGAGTGAGGCCAACACAAGAATAATGGAACCATTCACCTCCTTGGCACTGTCAAAGAAAAATACCAAGGTAAGGCAATTTTGATGTGTTGAGGCTAACAACGGCAAGTTGCATTATACAATTTCTCAAAGGGTTTATAAAGTTTCTCCACCTACCGTTGCTTCAAGCATTCAAGAGTTCTTTAACTAATTTTTAAATCAGAAGTAGTACAGGACGGAAAACAATTAACCATCTTATAAAACAAGAAGGAACATAAAAAGAAGGGAAAGTGGAATTACGTTATCATTGTCGCAAGCAATCATATCACCAAAAGATACCTGGGAACCAAAAGAATTTTAGCATGATAGGGATCAAATAGCGTTATGGAAAAAGATTCATCGATAACGAGCACAAAGACTGAGAGAAGCATAACCTGATGACAGACACAGTAAGTAGGTTCATTTGGATCAATAGGCTGATCAAGCTCGACAGGCGAGGCAAATTCTTTCTTGAGGCTTCCAGGAGGGGGCATAAGTTCAAAATCTCTGTCACGCTCCCTATCCCAATCTCTCTCCTTGTTATCTGGCCTCTTCAATTGAGGTGTTCCGATTAGTACTCTGCGTTTTTCGCTCTTAGGAACTAAAGGTAATGGAGGAAGAACAGCAGGCTCATCTGGCGCTATTTTACCTTCTGTAAAGATAAGTGATTTGAACATTTCAAACAAAAAACAAAAATCCATATTAGTGATAACGGGGCAAAAGCCAAATAGGCCACTTAACTACATACAGCCAACAGTTTTCAGTAGGACCTAATAACTTCAAAATCCATACAACTAAAATCAGTAGATTCAGTATTCGTTTTATAAGAGGAAATAAAAAATTTGAACAATGAAACAAATAATTACATATACATATAGTTTTTCTAGTTCTGTTTTATTATCTATTTACACGGATCCATTAAAAACACTGATTCAAGAAAAAAAATAACAATGATATAATCATCATCATCAACAAAGGTTAATTGGATATGTATAAAGGGTAACCTCCCAGAAGAGTGCAGACTTGTCATACATCGACTTACACTTTATACATCAAAGAATGTCGAGTAAAAGAATTTCCAAAAATTATTAGAATCACCTTGTTTGAGATCTTCAGCAAAGTTATTCAGATCCTCATCAAGGCGTTTTATGTGACTGTCAATCTGAGGGAAAAAAAAAAATTGAAGGAAGCAAGATCATAAGCTTCAAGAATTTAAGGCAGTGTTGGTAATAGCGAATGGGGAAATTTTGAGGCTAAAATGTAGCCATAGTGGCCGGTGCGGCCGCCATAAATCCATCCTTCACAAACTTCTAATGGTGGTTATGCAGAAATCAGCCATGCCATATCACCACGGCAGAAATTCAACACACAGTATAAACGTAAAGTCAATATACATTTCTGAGGAGTTAGCCTAGTTCACAAAAGAGTTGGTGGTGCTAACATGTTCAAGAAGATATTTATACATTTCTGAGGAGTTAGCTCATCCCACATATATGAGAAAAGGAAACAATTAACAGAATGACCAAAAATATCTCAGCTCGAGAATAACAAGCTTCGGCATAAAATGAATACTATAGAAAGAAAAACAATAGCTCAAATATTACTCCCTCAGTTGTTTTATTAATGTCGTTTTATGTTTAAGCCGTGAAATTAAGAAGTTAATGTCTTGATTAATTTATCTTAAAGTTTAGATATCTTTTTCTATAATATCTATATCTCTCCTCATCTCTTTACACGTCACTGTAATTTTCTATGCTCTCAACGCTATAAACAAATATACATATATATAAAATTTAAGAGGATAATTATCGAGAGAAGAGACAAGATTTTGACAAATCGAATCTGAGATTTTTTAGGAGTTATAAAATAAATATTAAGTGAAATATGTCTAAAGCGATATTTAATATGGAAAGGAATATATAAACTCAAAGACATATACTTCTAAACAGAGGGAGTACTTGAAAGAACAGAGTCACACTTCAGTGTACATAGTAATAAAAAAGTTGTCTAACATCCAACTATTCCATACATTTAGATTTTTATATATCAAGAATAATGGATATAAAGCATAAAAAAGAACACTCAACATAGGGTCTTACAAGATCATGAGCTTGACGGGCCAGTAGGACTTTCTCAGTGCAGAGACCGAGGGCATTGTCCTGATTACCCTCAATCTCTTTCCGAAGCTTTTCAAACACCTCTTCTTCTTCACCTTTCCTGGAGAACTTTCCCCCTTGAGATGCCAACCCCAGACAGTACTTTGTTTGCTGCCTTGACTGGTTTATCATTGCTGTAGGTTTAACAATTAGACAGAATGATGGGCATTAATCGAATTTTGCACAAACAATCATAAACTATAGAAGCAGCTGCAGTTCTAAAAGATTGATAACATTGGTAAAGAAAAACCTTGGGAACGCTCATCAAGTTCTCGAATGGTGTTAAGAAGCCTCTGAAGCTCTGCAGGGAGCGTGCTCGAATCTTTCATTATACACAAAAAGTAATCAATAATGATTAAACTGCACCTATTTTTTTTTTTACCCTTCTAATGATATACAATATAAACATAAAATCATATACAGGATGAATATCTTACACTCTAAATAGTCATCTACAAAAACTCCTGTTCTTGCAATTGCCATCTTTTAGCCTGATCGATCTTGGAAAGCTTCTTAGGTTTCCACTGTTCACAGAATCACCCCAATTTTTTTTTCGTAATTTAGAAAATAGAAATAGGAAATCAAGAAAACTAGGAAACAATAACCATAACTCAATGTAACATTAGCATGAACATCAGTAACTGGATACTATGAGTGCAGCTGTATTTGAAATCTTAATTGAAGATAATTTCATCAAGTTAATGATATTTAAGGAAACTCTCCATGAAGAAATAATTTATAAGTTTCAGAAAAATGTATAATTTCAGCCGCATTACTTAATACAGAAAACCATGTATGCATATACTAATCAGCAATGTCGAAAATCTATAACAAGTGACATTCTAAAAGCTTCGGACGCAATAAAATTAGGGCTTACAGAATGGAGAAATTGCGCCAACGGCAGAGACAAGTATAGGGTAGAGAGAGAGAGAGAGAGAGAGAGAGAGAGAGAGAGAGAGAGAGAGAGCTAAAAACTTGGATATTCTTCCGGGAAGGGCAGAAGATCGAATGTGGGCGAGAGGGAGATGGCAACGTGAGACAGATTGTAATTTTGCAGGAAAAAAAAAAAAAAAAAATTATTTCATAATTTTCTTAACAAAATTGACAAAAAGTTTTGGGTATGTTTGGTTAAACAAGAGGGAAGGGATGGGAGGGGACCGATTTCAATGAAGCTTAGAGGAGGAAAGGAAAGGGGAAGTGGAATACAAGTCTCTTTCCATTAGGGTTCGGGTCTTTCTCCGGAGTTCCAGTTCCTTTTAGAATATGTTCTTTTTTTTAAGGTTTTTGGTTTGATTAGGTCGTCGGTTCTCGCTGGTTTAGATTATTAAAGTCGCCTGCCTTCATTATGTGTGGTTTTGTTTTCTCTTTTCGTGTTTCTCAAGGCTTTGGGAAAGGTCAGTAGGCATGGAAGAGGTGATGTGAACAAACTCAAAAAAATTCATTTTATCGAACCAAGAAGAAAATGAGGTTACATTATCGGACGAGGGTATAACAATTGGAGTTCACGAACACAAATTGAGCTTTATTGGAAAGCTATTCGGGGAGAAAAAAGTTAATTTTGGATGTTTCAAGACGACGATAAGAGGCATCTGGGTAACCAAACAGGCCTTTCCCATCAGAAGCTTGGGCTATATGTAACGCCCCACTTTCGGACTTTCCAATAGTCAATATATAAATTTCGAAATTCCTTTTTCGATTTCTACATAAACATGGGCATTGAACGATCATTTCACAACATAGTTCAAGTCATATATGACCTTACGGGGATTCATTGCCTTATTTTTCACATAGATTTCATTATCCCAATGTAAACAAATCAACATGATATTTATCATACCATATCATCATGAATAACCAGTTCAACATGTTCCATAGAGAAACGAACCAACTCATAGGGTTCAAAACCAATCCACAAATTCAACTTTTTCAAAACGTCATAGTTTGAAAGCAAATCGACATGTTCATGAAACCAATGCAACATGTTCATAATACCAATTCAACATGTTCACAAAAGAGCGGAAGCAAATAAACATAAATGAGGACCAACCACTCGTCCCCTCGTTGTCATGTCTGCCACCTGCTCAACCTGAAATGGGGGGTGGGGGGGACATGTGAGTGAGCACATACCACTTTGCACACCGGTATGCACATAAATTATATATATAATGACAGATAGGTATGGTCGCACCATGAACATGTTGAGTTCTGTTAGGAACGTCAAACAACATGCACAGTATTGAACTTTATCGAAA